TTGTCAACATTCAAGCAAGTATGTGTATAAATTAACTCAATATACAGACATAATATAGTTTAATTTGCACTGCAAGATCTACCTAAGTTTACTGCCCACCATTAGGACACAATTTAGAAAGTATTTGTACTCAGTTCAAGTTACAATAATTTTAGAAGATTTTTGTTGCAATTTAACAAGTATTCACTGGAGTGTGGATTTGCTTTGATCAAAATTTATTACACTGAAGACAATGAATTTATTGAAGAAGTTAGATTTCTTTTCTAGATTAGTACAAGTCTTTACTTAAGTAAGGTTTCTGTATAGAAAATATGCATCAAACGTTTGTTGTGTTCAAGGTGCTTGAGTAAATCTAAATCAATCATTTCACAAATTACTTTTAAACAGTGGCTTATCTCTGAAGTCTTCAATTCCCAAGTGCCAGTGGTTTAGTTTACGTGTGAACAGCTGCATCTAGAGTCAGATGCTTAAGTACTGCATCTTTCTGCCTGAATTATACCTCTAGTGTGGCCATATATCAAAATCATGCCTGAAACCTTTGCTTTTTAGTCTTAGTCAGTTTTGCTGCTGAGAGACTGAGAAAATCGTGCCAATCACATTGCCATAGAACAACCCTACCTGCTTTCATTCTGTGTGTTCTGTATGTTTCTATAGGAAAAATCCACAGAATGCACAAGTGGAATAACTGGACTTTTAATGAAGAAAGTGGTCCTTCTATGATTATTAATCTGTCTAGATGAATATTTCTGGGATTCATTTTCAGTCTGGCAGTGATCAACCTTTCCAATGTCTTATTGGTGAACAATAGCAAAGTAATCCCACAAAGATACTTTTGAAGTTTTGCTATGTACACATGGTAAAAGAATTAAGAACTGAACTTTTTTAATAGCAATTAAACTTTTAGAATATAAAGTCTGTTTTCAAGGTGCAGTGGTAAAGTAATCTTGATTAAGTACTCATATTTTTCTGTGAAATTGGTGGTTACTTAACTTAATGAATTTGTGATGGGTTAAATGACAAGTCACAAAGATGAGAAATAATTTGCAAATTCTTCTTTAAAATCTCTAACTCAGGACAAATTGGCAGTAGAGTCTAGCACTTGCCAAATTGTTGCACTTCATCATATTCACTTGTTGTTTCCAAAAAGCCTAGGGAAAGATCAAGGCAATAAGATTCAACTGCGCCTGTGATAATGTAATGCTACATAATCTGAGCACATCAAAATGCTATACAAATCCACTGTCAGTACATTTGAGGTGATTTGCTTACAAGAATAATGTGAGTGGGATAATGTTAATATGCAGTGGATTTTTCACAGCAAAATAATTTATTAATTTTTTGTTTCTTGACGCATCAGTTCTTTAGCCTACATTTTTTTTTTTTTTTTGCAGAGTGTATAGGCTGTTTTTTTTCATGCCTTTCAGTTATTAAGTCATTAAAATGTTCCATTGTTGTTCTGTGAACTAACTCATAAATCAAGGATCATTTGCTTGTTACATAAATGATAACACTGCCTCCATGTACACATATATAAGTGAATATAAATCCAGCACCAAGTACCAACAATGTAATTCTATTCTTTTTATGAAAGTCATCATTTCCCAAAGGCTGAATTTCAGTAACCAATAAATGGAGCAGAAATTAGTAGTTTACACCAGTCTCTCTGAATTTTGAGTATTCAGTTCCAGTTTCAAAGGGAATATATGACTAGTTTTGCTTGTACTGATGGGATTACTTTCATCTGCTGTGCGTTTAAAAAAAAAAAAAAAAAAGGCTATTTTAAACATCTACTGTGTATAAAACTGTATGCTCTAAGAAATTTTTCTGTAAATACAGAACTGTACTTCTGGCATTTTTTGTGTTTTCTACAGAAGACTCTGTAGAGGCTCTTCTTTGACCAGTAGTCTGTCTTCACTAATGTTTCTCCCTTAGCAAAGTCTTTACTTAACTCATTCTTTCCAATGGAAGCTGGAAGTTGGAGTAATTTTATTCAGTTAAACTTACAGTTTTGATTTTACATCCTTTGCACATACTCAGTGCCCTTGCTATTTTATTTCCTCTGAAAGGTTCACTTTCTGTAGCAATCCATTCTAACTCACATTCCTTTGAGTTCAGTTCCCTAACTACTTCCTTTTGAGATACACTTGAAAGGGCTTGAAGGTTCAAGTCTTTTCTCTTTATCTTAATCTCTGTCTAGAATTTGACATCTGAAAGTAGGTCTTGGCTATGATTCTGTAAGTCAGGGAATACAATTATAACATTCTTCAGTTATTTCTGTAAAAAATTAGCATTTTAGTATTTCGAGCAACTAAACACCTAAAATACATTTCTTCTATTAAAAAGTTGTGTTATTCACTTTGAATCCCGATTTGTATTGTCATATAAATACTATTCACACACACACAAAGTCACATTTTTCTAGCACCATTTCCTAAGTAATAGTGAACTGTGTGATCTAACTTCCTGTTGGAGCAGTATAAAAGCAGATTTGCCATATAATAAATCACAAATTAAAGAGCACCTTCCTATAGTTTTTCCAATGTTCTATATTTTTAAGTAATGCTGATCTATGTCACCCATTTGCTCTACTGTCCCTTTCCATTTTTCTTGATCCCACTGTTTTACTGCAGTAAATTCTGGTTGTTTCTCATTTTCCTTCCTAAAAATGAGATAAGTTTCCTGCATTTCTTCTAGTGTACAGTAAAAGGGAGATGTTCCTTGAACTTCCTAGGTGAGGGCTTATTTTTTGAGCATGAAGTATTTACCATGGGAACTGTTATACTTTCAGATTTGGTGGCGAATGAGGAGAAAAAAAGAAGTGGGAATATATCTTCAGATAGTACAGTCTGTTTGAACAAGACCATCTTTCTTTCCAAATTTCAGTTTTGTAAGGTGGGAAAATGGCTTCTAATTTTAAACCACCACTGCTGAATATAAGAAATGTTAGCAGTAGTTTAGAAACAGCTGTCACTTATATTTTCTTATCAGTTTTTGCCAATTATCTCTGGCACTTCCAATTGACTTGGTGCCTGACCCATCACTATTCTATCTTTGCATTAATTCTCCTCTTTTAAATATTAGAGAAGCGTTTTTCTCATAAGGCTGACATTCTGCTCAGTTATATGTATCTTCATATCCCATTTCCACCTTCAAAAATACAAAAAGTGATCGACCTTGTAAATATTCAGTTTTGCTGATTAAAGAGTTGAATGGGATCTAGAACCACGCTGATGCTTCAACTCCATTGGAATTTTTGTATGCTATTATAGATGGGATTTCAGTTTGGAGTAAATGGAATTCAGGCTATATAGACATGCTATTCCTGTCTCTTAAAGGTAGCAAAATTGCCAAGAAATTTCAGGTTCAAAAAGAAGATTCTACCTAGTTCCTAGATTAATACTTTTATATATAAAGAAATGCTTCTTTTTTTCCTGCCTGTGGTTCTTCAGAACACTCAGCATTGTTTGTTTATAGCACACAGATTTGCTTCTTTTCTTGTGACATCCTTAAAGGTTCAGTTGTAATGAAATTGCTTTCAGGATGCTTTGCTAAGATACTTTTTTTTTCTTTTTATGCATTGTTTTCTGAAGATAAAACCCTAAATCTTCATTGCTTTCAGAACTCACTCCTTCCTCTCTTGAATTCTCTGTACCAAATATTTGACAATGAAGATTTTTTTAAAAAAATTTTATTTATGAAAATGGATCTTAGAAGATGAATAATAATGACAACTTTCTGACTTATGTACTTTCACATTAATTTATATTCTGGGACTTCTTGTTCAGGACGTTTTCTCTTAAACACTGTAAAGCTGTATTGATTAAACATTCTGTGGTTCTACTTCCAGATCCTGGTAGGATTAATTTCCTAAAGGTTAGTCTTGCTCCAATTTATAGGAGGGAAATTACAAAATTACAAAATTATTCATTAATTGCCAAAATTTTTAAACATCTATCTTAATTAAAACCCAAAATATCTGTTGTGAAATATTTAAATATTAAAATAATTTAAAATATTGTATTGTATTTAAAATTTTTAAAAAATTACAGAAGCACTGGTGATACTGACCACTATTTACGCAGCCCTTAAGAGATATTGTTTGTGTATTCTTAATAGATTTCAGGTCTCAGAACGCAAGGAAATGTTCTGTCCCTGAAATATGGTGACTGTTCCCAGCATATTTAACAATCAACTATAATTATGCCAGAAAGCTTCCTTTATCTTATTTCTAGAAATAGAATGTAAACAAATCACTTGTTTTAGATATATTTCTATTCAGTTCTTATGTATTTATTGTTCATTGAAAAGTCTTTCACATTATAGTTCTAGGCTATTTTCATTATACAGTGCCCATGCTATCTTTACAATGTGTAAACTTATAATCCCCTACCAAAATAAAAATAAATTTTAAACAAACAAGTAAAAACAAACAAACAAACAAAAACAAAAAACAAACAAACAAACAAAACAAAACAAAAACCACCCACAGAGGACATCTCAAATAAGTCATTTGAAAACCATGATGGAAGGAGACTCTGGAGATGTGTCAGAGATATAGGCAGATGGAAAATTGGTATTTCAAAACTTTTGAAAGATTGGGATCTCAATTTAAATAATCAAAATGAGCATCATGCAAAAAGAGTACGTACTTTAAAAATGTGATTTTATCAAACAAAATTAATTCTTTTCTCTGTCAACATTATCTATAAAGTGTTAAAATGAGCATTCAGGCAAGTAAACAGTGGGAAGCTTGGATATTTAAATGTTTTAAGATTTGTACTTGACATTTATCTATTGATAAGCAGAGGTCTACTGTTTCAAGTGATTGATCCAGATTTTGAATAGAAATGCTAACATAAATATGAAGAAACATTGATAGCTAGTAATACAGCATTCAATATAGTATATGTTTTATCCCCAAAATATCAATCTGTGATAATTTATTTTGATGTATTTTTATTTTCAAAGTAACTGTACTTAATTTTATTTATGTATTTTAGGCACGGAAGGGGCAGTGTTTGGACATTCTGTGGAGACACCCCATATCAGAGCAGAACCTTCCCAAGACCTCAAGTAGGTGTTCTTCAAAGAGTTTTAAAATTAAGTGTTCTTCAAAACTAATTACAGCTTGATTAAAAGTATAGTGATCTTCCTGTTGGAGAAGTATAAAAGCAGATTTGCCATATAATAAATCTTCTTAATACTGCCTTCTTAATGATTCTTACACATCCAAAACACAGTTAGACTCCAGTTTATTCTAACTATTCAAGAAAGACCCACAAATTCCTATCACACAAAATAGTAAAATACATTACTTTTTGAAACGAGTTTTCCAACTCCACCATTTCTTCATCTCAATTTTCCAAGGTGGACTTAATTAATGAGAATTCTACTGAATCTTCATTCAGTGTTTTGTCTTCTAGTTAATCATGGACTCAATCCATTTTTTTAATTAAAAAATTAAATTTAATTAAAAAACAACAACAACAACAAAAGCAAAAAAAGAAACAGCAACTGTTGCTGTCTGGTCAAGCAGAACTAGCTTATGTGTGATTTTTTTCTTACTATATTCTATATATAATGTATTCTGAAAGGTTTTGTACATATGTGCTGCTACGTGTTAGGTAGGATTCAGTGATATTCCCTTCATAAAATGAATATAACTACTATTAGGACAGAGATTTCATGGCTTTGGCATGAACCTTTCTAGAAGGTAACCTGCAGACATTTTTTCAGCTTGTAACTTTAAAGAACTGCAAATAATCACCGCTTTGTATGGTTGTTTCTGATGGTAGAATGCAATTAGATGCATTAGATCATATATATCTTTGAAAACTCCAGTTACCACATACTTATTTATCTTACTTCAAATGATTTTTAAAAATCCTTTAAAAAAAAAAAAATCAAGTCTTGCAATACTTTTCCCAAAAAATAAAATGTTTTTTTTTCTGATTTTAGATATGTTGTCAGAAAACAATTACTTACTGTTGAAATGATTGCTTGCTAAATATGCTGAAATAAATCAGCCCAAACATTATGTCCATTTTCTTGCCTCAAGCCCAATTTATAAAACTATATTGATATTGTGAAATGATTTTATCTTCCAAAATAGAATAGTTGCATCCTAAATACAACTGATCTTTGTCTCATGCTACATGACAAAGAGTGACTGCAAATTATAGATAATTGAGTTTCAGTGTTCTGGTTTTGGGTCCATTCATTGATTAAGGTTTTAACATATAATTAGTCAATGTGTCCAGCAAATAATACTGAACATCTTTAAACGTGGTATATTTTTTTTCCAAAATACAGTATCCCCAAGTCTTGGAATTTTTGAAGTTAACGGTGACATGAGAAAGAAGAAAGTTTGCTGTGCTTACATTAAAATTCATTTTTTCAGTAGGAACATATGTTTGCAGTTTAATAGCAGGATTCAGTATATAAATGCAAATACATTATGTTTATTTGAATAGTTATGTACAGGTCTGAAAGACACAGGAATTTAATTTGATTAATTAAAATACAAATGATCCTTTTGTTTTTCATTTGAGAATACATTTTAAAAGTCAAATAATAAGTGTAAAACATCAAGGTATATTTGAATAACATATATTTTATTCAAAAAAGAGACATTGGAATAAGATTCATAACACTGGATATGTAAAACAATTACCTGCTGAATTTAAACAGTGGAAATTTTTGACAACCTTGATTACTAATAATGAAACTGAACTATACAGTTTCAACTACAACATAAGTTTCACAGTGTTTGAGCTGAAAGTTCTGGAATTTTAGCTCAATCTGTTCTGGATTAGGAGCCAGAAAGATGATGATTTATATTAGGTTCAAATTTCTAAAGCTTCACCTCTCCAACACTCCATATCCAGAATTTGAAGTCTTCAGTCAAAGAACCATCTGTAATACATGGTATTAAAAAATATGTTGTATAAAAAGACAGTTCAGATAAGATTTTAAAGGATAGAAAAAATTTCCTTCCTATGTCCCAACCACTTTATTTGTTCACACCTTACATTTTCAAATAATAAGTAACAAGGTTTTGCTTTCAGAAAATACTTTATACAAAATCCTTTGTGAAAACCGGTAAGCCTCTTCGTATTGAAACCCAAAAACTAATTAAATCTGACTTTCTTTAACTGGGATAAGGAGCATAAAAGAATCATGCCTTAGAAAGGGAAAAAATATCTTAATAGTTTAATCTTCATATTTCTCTTGCTAACTTTTCTCACAAGAACACAGGGAAACTAAACCACCAATATGATAGGCCTCCAAATATAGATTTTAGGCTAATAGTGCATTAAAACATGGTGTAATAATTAGTAATATCTATTCATAAAAGAGGCATACAGTAGTTAAATGCCAATAGTTTTGACCTCAATAACCTTCTTAACAAGGTGGTAAATTTCTTTATTGTTGCTCTCAAGATACCTGCAAATCAAATCTAACAGTTTTTCTTCTCTGTCAAGCCTTGCATACTATTGACTCCAGCTAATCCTGCAAAGCTAATGCTGGGCATTAAAATGAGGTGGAAATTAATCAAGCAGTAAGGAAAAACCCAGGATAGTAGGATTGTATGTTAAGCCTGAAAGAATTCAGAATCTTGTACAAGGCATCTGTTTCATGTTGAGTTGCCTTATGGTTTCTTAAGGACCCTCTGTTGTGTCACTCTAGGAGTAGTTTACTAATAGGACAAAGTATCTGTTCTGTAAAACCCTGATACCATAGAATACATTAGAAAGGAATTTTGACAATAAATTGAGAGCAGACAGAGAGTAACAAAAGAACAGGGTCTCTTCTGCTCATCTATTATACTCAGAAATCAAATAATAGAACAAATTTCATCAAAACTGAGAAGATGAAGTAGAGTTAAAAAGCCCAAATTATTTCATACGTTATTTTTAAGGACCTCTGTTTCTAGCTTCCTTCTTAATGTTAGTTTTTAATAAAGCAAAAATATTCAATACATATATTTTTAGTATTTATGGTTGGTGTTCAAATAGTTATTTCACTGTTTGGGCATATGTATTACAAAAACAGTTGAAAACAACAGTTCACTCACTTTTGAAAATATATTTTTCCACATACATGTTTGTACAAAATTAAGATAGATGTAGTGAAAATTAGGAAAATTGACACAATGTAATCAGCTTTATATTTATGTATTTATAAATTATTTTACATGTGTATATAAAGCAAAAGAAATATACATTGAAATAAATAGATAAGAAGGAAATGAGTTTCAAATGTTAGCTCCTATTCAGATAGAATAGCCTCTTAAACTAGAAGAGTAATTTACTTTAGTATTCAGTGAGGATAATTATATTTGACTCAGGAGAAGGAAAAATACTCCAGTGGGAGATGGGATATGAAGGAAGAAAGTACTGCTGTCACAATAGATAGCAAAATTTAGTGAGTTTCATGTCATTAATTTGAGGTGCTGGATAATCTGTGTCTCTTGTCTTTGTATGAGCTAAACATGAAAACAAGGTCAAATAACCAAAATGTATAAAGTTTTCAAACTAGAATATAAGTACTTTGAGTCTGATGGATTAGTAAGAGTAGCAGTTGTAGTGAAATGGATGGAAAAATAGGTGAAAGGAGTATTTTAGTAGGTCAGATCTTTCAGGCTGGATTCACTGGTATGCAATGCTTCGCAATATTATTTTGAAAGATTCTTAAAGGAAAGAATTATTAACATCTTGAAGATAAGCAAAAATTGGGGTGAAATAGAAGGTGGCGAGATTATGCCAATCCAAAGAAATATTTTTCCCTCAATAAGGTATTGATCATCTAATGAGTGATTGCAAAAATGGTTTCTTCAGGATTAATTTTATTTTACAGATTTAATCAACTCACTCTAAGAAAGAAGCATGCACTAAGTTCTCTTTAACTTTCCTCACATTACCTGATCATTTTGTCAATCTCTTGCTTTAAATATTTGCTCTCTTCAGTGTGCCTCACCTTTTGCTTCTTCATTTTTTCTGGCCCTTTAGTAACATCACTGAAGAAGACTCTCTAATGCTTTGGATTACTTTCTTTTCCTGCTCAGTAACAATAATTATATTCTCAGTTGACTTCCTTTATTTGCCTGTGTCAGGAAATTATTTTTCTGATTTTTATCTATGTCACCTAAAATTAAAACACTGTTATTTTGTGTGTTGTTATTATAATGCAGACTTGTTGAACTGAGATTGGTGGCATGTATGGAGCAATTAGAACTCAGATTCAAACCCAGCAAGGTGATTTCTGGGTTAATGAAAATTCCAGGAGCTGTAATAAAGTCATGCTGATACACAGTCAGTGACGTGTAGAGAATGGATATAATAGCAAATGCTGTCCTAAATGCTGTTCTAATTTAAACCATGAAAGTTTCATCTTTGTTTAAATGCCTTGTCAATGAGTAGAAAAACTGGTTACGTTGATATTTAGTAGTTTGTGCTATTAGCTATTCCATAAGGTGTCTATTTAACTTTCTCTTATTTAAGGTCTTGCTGTGAAGTCACAAAATACAGAAAGCCAAATTGTGTCCTTAAAGGTTAGTTTCCCACATATAGAGAGCTTCTTGTAAAGATATGAGAATTTTGCCTTTTGATAAAGGTTATCTGATGATCAGTGAATGACATTAAAGACTCACAAGTCCTGCACATCTTCCCTTGCATTTCAATAAAATCTTTGATTTCTTCCTGAAAATACAGACATTTGGTTAAAAACATTGGAATACAGTAAGCTTCAGAAAAAATAACTGTTCTGGCAATGAATCAAATGCAACTTGTATAGGATGTAAAGGTATCAAAACTATTTTTAATTATACAAATATATGTAAGTAACGAGATTGAAATGAATGAAGTCTTATTCTCCCAGCATTCCTATCATGATGTCAAAATGAACTAATCAAGAATCCTCTGTTTGAATCGTTTCAATATCTATTAAAAAAGGTAATCTAGGTTTTTTATCACAATGGTCATAAAAGTTCATGGTTATTATTTATGCATACTATTGGAGTTTGTCATCCAAATTTTGTCCAATACCTTCTGTCCTTCAGTAGACAAGGGCTT